AGGGAGCTTTTCATTGAAGAAATCCCCTTGCTCGGGCATTCCCGATATCGTGACCCTGAACACTACTTTTATGGTCTTTCGGGCAACTGGGAGTGGTCCCTGCGTACAGCGGACTATTGGCGACATCATTTCGAGATCCCCCTTGTACACGGACACCATCCTTTTCACAATGTGCCCATTGAGACGACACCTCCTGCAGATGAACCGAGCCTAACCACCCGGCTCCATGAATTAGCCAAAGATCTATCTGACACCTTGAAGGCTGCTACGGCATCTGGGGAACTCGATCAGACTTGGGCGATGGTTGGACGCATGAGCTTCCACGATGCTATCGAAGTTCTTCTACAAGCTCCGAATTCCTCTTCTGACTGAGGTGATCGCCCGTTTGTACATTAGGTTATTACAGGTTCACTTTCACTGGTGTATTGCCGATTCCGCCAGCGAAGTTCTTCCAAAAAATCCAACCTCGCTACATGCGAGGTGTGTGTGTGTACCATCTGAACAGATGTAAAACTTCTTATTGGTTTTCACTACTTTGCAGGGGGACTGGAGCCGATTTGCCTATCCAGTCCAACGAAGCTATGGCATTTCGGTGGATGAGTGGTCTGATCAACCACTTGTACCTGCAAAACTCAGTTTGAACTGTTGACCAAGCTGTTACACTGCGTTGTTTCGACTCTACACGGTTGCCACAATCTGTATTGCATGCATCAGAACCTTCCTCAGATTTTCGCCGAAACCATATCGCCGACAGTATTATGATTTTTTGATATATTTTCGCCGAGATCATGTCGCCGATGAACAATGGGTCATTTTGGGAAACAATCGCCGAAACATTATTTGGGATTTCAACATGCTGGTCATCACTCTATGGACTCTGGTTTTAACTACGTTTGACAATATCGGATGCCCTACATCGTTTTCGAGAAGTACCTCATGCGGCTCTTTTACTCATCAAATAATTTAGACTGGTTTGCATGTTTCAGGATTCAGTTCCTGCCGGATCATATAATGATCCATTCTTGTCTAGTGTGTGACAAAGCAGTGTGTGAAAGATGGTGTGCGTGTGTGAAAGTTGCGTGTGAAAGGGAGCGTGTGACAAAGTTGTGTGCGAAAGATGGTATGTGACAAAGTGGTGTGTGTGAAAGATGGTGTGGCGAAAGATGGTGTGTGACAAAGTTGTGTGCGAAAGATGGTGTGGTGAAAGATGGTGTGTGACAAAGTTATGTGTGAAAGATGGTGTGGTGAAAGATGGTGTGTGACAAAGTGGTGTGTGAAGGATGGTGTGGTGAAAGATGGTGTGTGACAAAGTGGTGTGTGAAGGATCGTGTGTGAAAGATGGTGTGTTACAAAGATGGTGTGTAAAAAAGGGTGTGCCAAAGATGGTGTGTGACAAAGTGGTGTGTGAAAGATGGTGTGTCAAAGATGGTGTGTGACAAAGTTGTGTGTGAAAGATGGTGTGTGAAAGATGGTGTGTGACAAAGTTGTGTGTGAAAAATGGTGCGGTGACAGTGGTGTGTGGAAGATGGTGTGGTGAAAGATGGTGTGTGACAAAGTGGTGTGTGACAAAGTGGTGTGTGAAAGATGGTGTGTGACAAATGACAAAGTGGTGTGTGAAAGAGGGTGTGTCAAAGATGGTGCCACGCCTGCCACGCAAAACAAGGGTGGATGTGACCAAGTGCCATGCCTGCCACGCAAAGTGCCGCGGCGTCACCGGCGACTAAAACCAATGCCATAAGTGCCACGTCTGCCACGCAAAACGAAGGTGGATGTGACCAAGTGCCACGCCTGCCACGCCAAACGAAGGTAGATGTCGCCAAGTGCCACTCCTGCCACGCAAAGTGCCGCGGCGTCAGCGGCGACTAAAACCGACCCAAGGGCGCCACCCAGTACCATAAGTACCACGCCTGCCACGTAAAACGAAGGTGGATGTGACCAAGTGCCACGCCTGCCACGCAAAGTGCCGCGGCGTCACCGGCGACTAAAACCGACCCAAGCGCGCCACCCAGTGCCACAAGTGCCACGCCTGCCACGCAAAACGACCGTGGATGTGAGATTGTGCCACACCGGCCACGCAATACGAAGGTAGATGTGACCAAGTGCCATGCCTGCCACGCAAAGTGCCGGGGTGTCACCGGCGACTAAAACCGACCCAAGCGCGCCACCCAGTGCCATAAGTGCCACGCTTGCCACGCAAAACGATGGTAGATGTGAGTTTGTGCCACGCCTGCCACGCAAAACGAACGTGGATGTGAGATTGTGCCACGGCTGCCACGCAAAGTGTCGCAAAACGATGGTAGATGTGAGTTTGTGTTATGTATGTGACAGATGGTATATGACAAAGTTATGTGTTAAGTTTGTGTATGTGAAAGATGGTATGTGAGAGGTGTGTTAAGTTTGTGTATGTGAAAGATGGTATGTGAAAGATGGTCTGTGACAAAGTTATGTGTGAAGTTATTGTAAAGTTGTGTGTTTTGTGAAAGACGGTATGTGACAAAATTGTGTGTTAAGTTTGTGTATGTGAAGTTATTGAAAGATGGTATGTGACAAAGTTGTATTTTAAGTTTGTGTATGTAAGAGATGGTATGTGACAAAGTTGTGTGTGTGAGTGTGTGGAGGAGGAGGCGGGAGGAGGAGGAGGCGGGGAGGCGACCCGGGATAGAGAATCAAAAACAAGAACCCCACACAAAGTTGTGGCGAACTAACTTGACTGTAACACTATCGTCTGCAATTTTTGCTATTGTCCGCAATTTCTATATATAGGCGGCCAAAACAGAACGACACGATCATAGTCTGCACGCAAACTGCATGCCTTCATGCATTGCGCTAAAATGCGGTGTGTGACAGAGTTGCTGATTGTGTGAAGAGTATTGATAGTTTGCACGCAAAAAGCCAGACGCATGCATTGCGCTAAAGATGGTGTGTGACAGAGTTGTGTGGTTGTGTGACAAGTTCTGTGTGACAAGTTGTGTGTGTGACACGATTGTATGCGAAAGATAGTGCGTGATGCCGTGCGATACCACGCCTGCCACGTGAAACGAAGGTGGATGTCGCCAAGTGCCACGCCTGCCACGCAAGATGACGGTGGATGTCACCAAGTGCCACGCCTGCCACGCAAAGTGCCGCGGCGTCACGGGCGACCAAGCCCGCCCAGCGCGCCACCAGAGCTAGCCCAGTGCCATAAGTGCCACGCCTGCCACGTGAAACGAAGGTGGATGTCGCCAAGCGCCACGCCTGCCACGCAAGATGACGGTAGATGTCACCAAGTGCCACGCCTGCCACGCAAAGTGCCGCGGCGTCACCGGCGACCAAGCCCGCCCAAGCGCGCCACCAGAGCCAGCCCAGTGCCATATAAGTGCCACGCCTGCCACGTGAAACGAAGGTGGATGTCGCCAAGTGCCACGCAAGATGACGGTGGATGTCACCAAGTCCCACGCCTGCCACGCAAAGTGCCGCGGCGTCACCAGCGACCAAGCCCGCCCAAGCGCAACACCAGAGCTAGCCCAGTGCCATAAGTGCCACGCCTGCCACGTGAAACGAAGGTGGATGTCGCCAAGTGCCACGCAAGATGACGGTGGATGTCACCAAGTCCCACGCCTGCCACGCAAAGTGCCGCGGCGTCACCAGCGACCAAGCCCGCCCAAGCGCGCCACCAGAGCCAGCCCAGTGCCATAAAAGCTTATAAGTGCCAGGTCTGCCACGTGAAACGAAGGTGGATGTCGCCAAGTGCCACGCCTGCCACGCAAGATAACGGTTGACCAAGTGCCACGCCTGCCACGCAAAGCGAAAGTAGATGTCACCAAGTGCCACGCCTGCCACGTGAAATGACGGTGGATGTCGCCAAGTGCAACCTCTGCCACATAAAGTGCCGCGGCGTCACCGGCGACCAAGCCCGCCCAAACGCGCCACCAGAGCTAGCCCAGTGCCAAAAGTGCCACGCCTGCCACGTGAAACGAAGGTGGATGTCGCCAAGTGCCACGCAAGATGACGGTAGATGTCACCAATTGCCATGCCTGCCACGCAAGATGAAGGTGGATGTCACCAAGTGCCACGCCTGCCACGCAAAGTGCCGCGGCGTCACCGGCGACCAAGCCCGCCCAAGCGCAACACCAGAGCTAGCCCAGTGCCATAAGTGCCACGCCTGCCACGTGAAACGAAGGTGGATGTCGCCAAGTGCCACGCACGCCACGCAAAGCGAAAGTAGATGTCACCAAGTGCCACGCCTGCCACGCAAACTGCCGCGGCGTCACCGGCGACCAAGCCCGCCCAAGCGCGCCACCAGAGCCAGCCCATTGCCATGATTTAAGTGCCACTCCTGCCATGTGAAACGAAGGTGGATGTCGCCAAGTGCCACGCCTGCCACGCAAGATGACGGTAGATGTCACAAAGCGAAAGTAGATGTCACCAAGTGCCACGCCTGCCACGCAAGATGAAGGTGGATGTCGCCAAGTGCCACGTCTGCCACGTAAAGTGCCGCGGCGTCACCAAGCCCGCCCAAACGCGCCACCAGAGCCAGCCCAGTGCCATAAGTGCCACGCCTGCCACGTGAAACGAAGGTGGATGTCGCCAAGTGCCACGCCTGCCACGCAAGATGACGGTGGATGTCACCAAGTGCCACGCCTGCCACGCAAAGCGAAAGTAGATGCCCAGTGCCATGAGTGCCACGCCTGCCAGCCTGCCACGCAAAACGAAGGTGGATGTGAGGTTGTGCCACGCCTGCCACGCAAAGTGCCACGTGACAAAGTTGTGTGTGACCAAGTTGTGTGTGAATGATGGTGGTTGACAAAGTTGTATGTGAAAGATGGTGGTTGACAAAGCTGTACGTGAAAGATGGGGTGTGACAAAGTTGTATGTGAAAGATGGTTGTGAACGGCGGGAGGAGACGGGAGGGGGAGGAGGCGGGAGGAGGAGGCACCCGGGATACAGAATCAAAAACAAGAACCCCACACAAAGTTGTGGGGAAATAGTAAACAGCCCACGTCCAGTTGGTTTCCCCTCGCCTCCCGATCACACAGCAGCTGATTGCCATGTTCGTCCACATGCTGTGTATCGCAGCATGCACTCCTGACGCTGTCGAAACTGGTGCAGTTCAGCTTCTCCTCCAAGTGCAGACGGAAGAGCCTAGAACAGTTAAAAAAACTACAAACACCCATCGAAAAACTAAATACCCTCCTGTAGTTGGACATACCTATAGAAAATTGCCCATGAGTTGATGATCTACCTATCAAATATTCAACATGGTGATTTTCCCATACTAGTAGCTACAGTATGTTAAAAGCCACATGGTAAGGAGAGCAAATATTTGGGCGTGAATTCCAACAAGTACATGCAATAGTGATGTGCTCAAACAGAATCCCTTTCCTCCAATATTTCCACTGCGGAAAAATAACCACGAAAAGCCACGATGGCCCAGAAACCAGACATTGCTAGCAGCAGCGCGCCGAAACCAGACAGTGGAAACATTGATAACCCAAACATGCTGGACCAAGTAGTTAATAAGGCTGCGATTGAGCACGGGCCTACGGTAGTGGGCCTGATGATCAACACTCTTCTGCTATTCTCCGCATTCTTGGATTTTAAAAATGCTGCCATTTCGAACAAACACCAAAGCCTGTCGCTCCAGCTGGTGTCCCAAAGAACCAGCAACTCCTTTGATGCTTTCAACACTCCGGCAAGGCTGAAAATCGCTTCTGTTTTCATGTCGGCGTCCTCATGGTTGATGCAAATGCGATCCAAGAACACCTGTTGTCGCGATTTCCACGAGGTGAAACTTACGATGGAAACCAGGAGGCCAACCGCAAGGCTCCATAATGAGGCACCTTCTTCACCGTTGTAGCTAGGACGCTCGTAGATAGGCAAATGGCCCAAACTAAAAAGCAGCAACATCACAAAGGCAGCAAAAGTACCTAAGAGAATGGAGGCCAAACCATTGTACTGCACCAACAAGGTCAGAACCTTCATCCAGCGACTGCCATGCCAAGAATAAGACCAAAAGCGGCCAATCCGGTCACTTTGCTGACTCTTATGATACTGGCTGGAACTGGAACCCGCACGAAAAACTTGCGCACACTTCTCAAAAGCTTTGTATGCCGGCGTCACCCGCAGGACTTCCTGAGTGCTTAGCCGCCAAAGAATAGGATGAAACCAGGACACTTGACCACATGTTCCCACTCCGAACGTTTTGAAAATCATGTTTGAAACTAAGTCGGAATGATTAGGAATATTTTGAGAGATCAGTCCAGTGAGGTACAAGACTTGCAAAACCGCTGTTTGGCACACATCCTTTTTTTCACGCAGCCGCTCTACTGCACCACAAAAGGACATGAATCCATTGGCTAAAGCGTGTCCATTTGGGAACTGGTGTGGTTGCGTTGGCAATAAATTAGGAAAATGCCCCATGGACATTTGTTTCTACCTTTGACAATCGAGTCCTAAACTGGAATAACATGTGCAGTAATTAATTACCTATTTTCATATATTTTCAACATTCTGGTCAAATCCAAAAGCATAACCACCCAAGAACATTAACAGTATAAATGCAAAACGTATCATATCATTTCATTTCAGACCGCATCATATCAAATCAAATCATATCATATCATATCATATGTATTTATTAAAGAAAAAACGTTGTCAGGTACCAACCCTAAATACCATGTCAAGCTGGGAAATTCACCCAGCAAAACATCGCTATTCTTGGTGCATCCGTAAAAATATTCCTCGTCAGTCATTATCAGAAAGCATGCCAAATTACCTTCTTCGCGTGGTCCCCACCATATGCTATTCTACCTGACGCATATTCTGCAAATTAAATGTGGCACCCTATCTGACACATACTCTGGCATTCTATCTGACATATATTCTGACATTTTACCCGGCATTCTATCCGACATATATCTTGACATTCTATCTGGCATTCTATCTATCTGGCATATATTCTGACATTCTATCTGGCATTCTATCTGACACATATTCTGACATTATGTATGGCATTCTATCTGGCACATATTCTGACATTCTATCATTCTATCTGGCAAATATTCTGACAGTCTATCTGGCTTTCTATCTGGCACATATTCTGACATTAGATCTGGCATTCTATCTGACACATATTCTGACCTTCTATCTGGGATTCTATCTGGCACATATTCTGACATTCTATCATTCTATCTGGCAAATATTCTGACAGTCTATCTGGCTTTCTATCTGGCACATATTCTGACATTAGATCTGGCATTCTATCTGACACATATTCTGACCTTCTATCTGGCATTCTATCTGGCACATATACTGACATTCTATCATTCTATCTGGCAAATATTCTGACAGTCTATCTGGCTTTCTATCTGGCAGTCTATCTGACATCTCTCTCTCTCTCTCTCTCTCTGCCTCCCTCCATCGCCATCCCGAAGGTTTCTATCTGTGACATTATATCTGGCATTCTCTCTGAAATTTATTCTGACATTCTATCTGGCATTGTATTTGACACATCTTCTGACATTATATCTGGCATTTTAATGCAGTTTATCTGACATATATTCTGACATTCTATCTGGCATTTTATTTGATATATTTTCTGACATTCTATTTGGCTTTCTACCTGACATCTATTCTGACATTCTATCTGGCATTCTATCTGACACATATTCTGACCTTCTATCTGGCATTCTATCTGACACATATTCTGACCTTCTATCTGGCATTCTATCTGACATATATTTTAACATTGTTCCGGCATTCTATCTGGCATATATTCTGACATTCTATCTGGCATATATTCTGACATTCTATCTGGCATATATTCCGACATTCTATCTGGCATTTTATCTGGCACATATTCGGGCATTCTAGCTGGCATACATTCTGGCATTCTACCTGGCATTCTATCTGACATGTATTCTGACATTCTATCTGGCATTTTATCTGGCACTAATCTGGCATTCTATCTGACATTTATTCTGACATTCTATCTGGCGCATATTCTGACATTGTATCTGGAATTCTATCTGGCACATATTCTGACATTATATCATTTGATATCTGGCATTCTATCTGACACATATTCTGACATTCTTTCTGATGTTCTACCACGCATGTATTCTGACATTCTATCTGGCACATATTCTGCCAGTAACTCTTGCATTCGATCTGACATATATTTTGACATTCTACCTGGCATTCTATCTGACATACATTGTTGCATTATATCTGGCAATCAATCTGACATATATTCTATCTGGCACATATTGTGACATTGTATCTGGCATTCTATCTGACACATCTTCTGACATTATATCTGGCATTCTATCTGGCATTTTGATGCATTTTATCTGACATATATTCTGACATTCTATCTGGCATTCTATCTGACATATCTTCAGACATTCTATTTGGCTTTCTATCTGACATCTATTCTGACATTCTATCTGGCACATATTCTGACCTTCTATCTGGCATTCTAGCTGACACATATTCTGACATTCTATCTGGCATTGTAATTCATTTAATTTGACATATATTCTGGCATTCTACCTGACAGACACATATGTTGACGTTAGATCTGGCATTTTATCTGACATACATTCTGAAGTTCTTTCTCGAATTCTAGCTGGCACATATTCTGCCAGTATATCTGGCATTCTAGCTGGCATACATTCTGACATTCTACCTGGCGTTCTATCTGAGGTATCAATTATGACATTATATCTTGCAATCTACCTGACCTATATTCTGACATTCTATCTGGCATTCTATCTGGCACTATATCTGGCATTCTATCTGGCATTTATTCTGACATTCTATCTGGCGCATATTCTGACATTGCATCTGGAATTCTATCTGACACATATTCTGACATTATATCATTTGATATCTGGCATTCTATCTGACACATATTCTGACATTAGATCTGGCATTCTATCTGACATAATACGGCATTATACCTGTTTTATTGGGCATTCTATCTGGCATTCTATCTGACATCTGGCACTCGCTGTTGAGGCCCGGCAGTGCCCACTGAGATCTGGGGCTTGCGGTGCCCACTGAGATCTGGCGCTCGCAGTTGAGGGCGGGGTCCGGGGCGAGGAGGTGGAGGAAGAGGAGGCGGGGGGCGGCGTGCAGCTCGGATAAATATAGAGACCCTCACCTGGCAGGTGGGGAAGAATCCGTTATATTGCCAACTCCCCCCAATATCAAATAGCCCTCAAGACCCCCTGTTTTAGTATTGGGTATATATACTCATTTGGGGGCCCGGTCCTGGGGGTGATAATACTATTGGGAGACGGGATGATTCCCATGAAATATCAGCAAGTATCAGCATGAAATTGAAATCCTACTATTTCATGACTATTGAAATCCCCAAACCCAATGGTTAATCATCATTACCTTGTGAAAGCATCACGTGCTCCGAATAAATACACCACCACTTCACTACCAATATCTCATTAATTATATCCCGGTATCTTGCTGGTTCCGCTCCCGTGCTATTTCCAATAAATCGCTAATGCATGAGATGTAGTGGTGAATCATAATTTTCCCCTATGTTCCCTGTGAAAATGCCATATCTTCGGGGTTACTTGGAGGATCACCCCACTTAGTAATTGGGTAGTAACTGAGGTAACTACTTAACAACCCGTGTATTAATAGGAGAACCTACTTGGGCGACTTCCCCACCAGAGTTTATCAAGCCACTTACAATGCGTAAAAATGATCCTTCAAGGAGTTCCCAGCATTTCCCCCATGATATCCTACCCAACACCAAGAGCCGCCGGTAAAACATTGCCGAAAACATGACCCTATAGCATCCGGTCGTGTGATGGACATCTTTGCCACAAGCTCCACCAGGAAGGGAGCCATGGCCGACCCAACGTCGACCATCCAGCGAGGAAGTCACATGGGGTCGCTGGAACTCTACCCGTCCACCGCCCCCAGTTCGGTGCTTTGTTCACAAAAATAAGTTACTTATTATGGGACAGAAATTATATATATATATATAAATCATTATAATTCCATATAATGGATAAGAACGGCAAAACCAAGGCCTACATTCAAGTTGGAAATGGTTTAAGAACATTTGCTGAACCCACCAGCGTACTCTTGCAGCCTCTTCGCAGACGGACTTGCCAATGCTTCAATTTGAGCCCATTTGGCTTCAAGTTGGATAAGCGTGCTCAGGCTGCTGGTGAGGAAATAAAAGACCGGATAATCCCACATGTCAACTTCTTCCAATAATGGTAAAGGCGGGAAAGATATAGGATATGGTGGAAGACAGATTGTGTGAAAGAGCATGAAAGAGCTATGTGTGACAGATCTGTGTGTGTGTGAAAGAGTTGTGTGTGAAAGTGCTGTGTGTGACAAGGAAAGGTGGTGTGTGTGTGTGACAATGTTGTGTGTGAAGGAGTTGGGTGTGAAAGTGTTGTGTGTGACAAGGAAAGGTTGCGCGTGTGTGTGTGTGTGACAATGTTGTGTGTGAAAGAGCTGTGTGTGATAGAGTTGTGTAAAAGAGTTTTGTGTAAGAGAGTTGCGTGTAAAAGAGTTGTGTGACAATTTGCGTGTGAAAGAGTTGTGCCTGAAAGGTTGTGTGATAGGTGATCTTGTGTGTGAAAGAGTTGTGTGTGTGTGAAAGGGGTGCGGGTGACAATGGTGTGTATGTGTGTGTGATATGAATATTTGTAACAGAGTTGCATGTGAAAGGGGTGTGTGTGTGTGACAATGTTGTGTGTTGGAATTTGTGTTGGAGCTTGTGTGTTGGAGAGTTGATGATGTGTGAATGTGAAAAGAGGTGTCTGCGTGTGTGTGTGTGTATGTGTGCGTGTGTGTGCGTGTATGTGTGTGTGATAGGGTGTGTGCGTGTGTGAAAGAGTTGTGTGTTCAGTCCGTGCGTGAAAGAGATGTGTGTGCGACAAAGCTGCGCGTGAAAGAGTTGTGTGTTGAAGTTTGTGTGAAAGAGGTGTGTGTGTACGTGTGTGAAAGACCTGTGCGTGGAAGTTGTGTGCTCAAGTTTGTGTCTGAAAGAGTTGTGTGTGAAAGTGTTGTGTGTAAAACGGTCGATGTCACCAAGTGCCACGCCTGCCACGCAAACGCAATGTCGATGTCACCAAATGCCACGCCTACCACGCAAAAGACCCCCGGGTCAAAAGCGACCAAGGCACAAGTGCCACGCCGGCTATGCAAAAGCGACGTGGATGTCACCAAGTGCCACGCCTGCCACGCAAACGCAATGTCGATGTCACCAAATGCCACGCCTACCACGCAAAAGACCCCCGGGTCAAAAGCGACCAAGGCACAAGTGCCACGCCGGCTATGCAAAAGCGACGTGGATGTCACCAAGTGCCACGCCTGCCATGTAAACTGAAGGTCAATGTCTCCGAGTGCCACGCCTGCCACACAAAAGACTGCGGCATCACGGCGGACAAGCGGCGATCAAGCGCCACCAGAGTGCCAACCCAGTGCCACAAGTGCCACGCCTGCCACGCAAAAGCAGTTGCGTGTCACAAAGTTGAACTTGTGTGTGACAAAGTTGTGTGTGTGTGTCAGAGAGAGTTGTGTGTGTGAGAGAGTTGTGCGTGTGTGTGTGTGACAAAGTTGTGTGTGAGAGAGTTGTGTGTGACAAAGTTGTGTGTGTCACACAGTTGTATGTGACAAAGTTGCAAAGTTGTGTGACAAAGTTGTGTGTGAAAGATTGTGTGTGTGACAAAGTTGTGTGTGATAGAGTTGTGTGTGAGAGAGTTGTGTGTGACAAAGTTGTGTGTGTGAGAGAGTTGTGTGTGTGTGAGGGAGCTGTGTGTGTCTGTGAAAGATTGTGTGTGTGTGACGAAGTTGTGTGTGAGAGAGATGTGTCTGACAAAGTTGAGTGTGACAAAAGTGTGTGTTTGACTAAGTTGTATGTGAGAGAGTTGTGTCTGACAAAGTTGCACATTGTACGTGACAAAGTTGCAAAGTTGTGTGACAAAGTTAAAAAGTTGTGTGACAAAGTTGTATGTGAAAGAGTTGTGTGTGACAAAGTTGAATGTGCGATATAGTTGTGTGTGAGAGAGATGTGTGTGACGAACTTGTGTGTGAGAGAGTTGTGTGTGACAAAGTTATGTGTGACAAAGTTGTGCGTGTGTGAGATTTGTGTGTGACAAAGTTGTGTGACAAAGTTGTGTGTGAAAGAGTCGTGTGTGACAAAGATGGTGTGACAAAGTTGTATGTGACAAAGTTGTGTGTGAAAGATTGTGACAGCAGGAGGCGCGGAGGAGGAGGAGGAGGCGGCAAACGGGATACAGAACTGAAAACAAGAACCCCACACAACGATGTGGGGAACAATCATCACGGTTCAAACAACATTTTCCACAATCATCTTCCATCAAAGCATGACAAAGTCAAAAGAGATACTCACATCTGAGAGCGCCCGATGAATGTGGAACTTCCGTGCGGCTCAGTAGGGCACTGCTGACTTGCATCAGCACGGGCGTCTTTGCCACCTGCGCCTGTGGCACCTGTTGCACAGGCACGTTTGAAAGCACGGGCCATGAAGTAGATTAGCAACATGGAGCCGGCGAAGGCGAGCGGGCGAATGACCAGATTCTGAACCCTTACGTAAATCAAAATGTAAATCCCAAGCTGGAACCAAAGTGCTAAGCAGAGCACCAGCAATAGAGCAAGTTTCAGGAAGAAGTCAGGTAGAGGGCCGCCCCAGGAGGCTCTGCAATACCTTTTGCTCAAAAAAAGGCATAGTTCAAGTATCATGGTGCCGCAGAGCAGCCACGACACCAAGCCCAAGACAAACTTGTCAAAGAGAGGGAGCCACTGACCCTCACGTGCATGCGCAGCGATAAAATCCATGAAGGTCCACAAAATAGGCCTGCGGCGGTTGTTGAATCACCCCCACTGGAAAATCTGTAAGTCAAATGGAATCAAAATCAGTTTGCTATATATAATTTCAATATATATATATATATCTATTTATCTAATTACATAATATATTTAAAAATAATTATTGATATAACATCTCTCTCTCTCTCTCCATATCTGTGTGTCTCACCCTCTTCAAACAACTCCTCATGCTTTTAAATATAGAACGTTAACAAAATACAGCCAGGATAATTTCCCTCGTAAACATTATTTCTACATTGTAACCATGGCCAACTGCCAAATTACCGGAAGGTATAACTTGGGTTTACCCTCCGGTAACCGAACATGCCCGGGAAATCCACCATGTGGATTTAAATGGGGAAATCATCGACCTAATTCGGAAAACATTGGGAAACAAATGAATGAAACCAGGTTAACTCCCCATAGTTTCGCCATTCAGCCGTTAATCAAATATAATATAATTAATTAATTATATAAATCGTATTAAATCGCCAAACTAAATAAATCACAGCATTAAAACTGAATAAAACTCGCAAGCATAGGGACGATGTGACTTGCAAGGCCCAAGTTGTCGTGAAGACATTTTCTCGCAAATCTCGGACGACGGTCTGCGACACCTCCGTACGCAGGAAATCTTCAAAGGCTTGGGTGCTACCGAACCAGATGGCCACACACTGCTTCAACACCTCAGTTGGTTAGCCACTAGCCAACCTTGGTACATATGGACGTGAACCAAAAAGAAGGAACCATGACTATTATAGATGATAGCAGTACTACATGCACACTAGTAACATAGTAGGTGAACATGCCGGAGATGCACAGAACAAAATGATGTTTACCTGGCAACATTCAACTTGAAGCTAGTCACGTCTTATAGCAAGCAACACTCATGGCACAAAAACATGTATTAAAATAGTAAACGGCCCACGTCCAGTTGGTTTCCCCTCGCCTCCCGATCACACAGCAGCTGATTGCCCTGTTCGTCCACATGCTGTGCATCGCAGCATGCACTCCTGACGCTGTCGAAACTGGTGCAGTTCAGCTTCTCCTCCAAGCGCAGACGGAAGAGCCAAGAACAGTTAAAAACAACTACAAACACCCATCGAAAAACTAAATACCCTCCTGTAGTTGGACATACCTATAGAAAATTGCCCATGAGTTGGTGATCTACCTATCAAATCTTCAACATGGTGATTTTCCCATACTAGTAGCTACAGTATGTTAAAAATTGTTAAAATACCACATGGTAAGGAGAGCAAAGATTTGGGCGTGAATTCCAACAAGTACTGTACATGCAATAGTCATGTGCTCAACCAGAATCCCTTTCCTCCAATATTTCCACTGCGGAAAAATAACCACGAAAAGCCACGATGGCCCAGAAACCAGACATTGCTATCAGCAGCGCGCCGAAACCAGACAGTGGAAACATTGATAACCCAAACATGCCGGACCAAGTAGTCAAGAAGGAGGCGATTGAGCAGGGGCCTACGAGAGTGGGCCTGATGATCAGCACTCTTCTGCTATTCTCCGCATTCTTGGATTTTAAAAATGCTGCCAATTCAAACAAACACCAAAGCCTGTCGCTCCAGCTGGTGTCCCAAAGAACCAGCAACTCCTTTGATGCTTTCAACATTCCGGCAAGGCTGAAAATCGCTTCTGTTTTCATGTCGGCGTCCTCATGGTTGATGCAAATGCGATCCAAGAACACCTGTTGTCGCGATTTCCACGAGGTGAAACTTACGATGGAAACCAGGAGGCCAACCGCAAGGCTCCATAAAGAGGCACCTTCTTCACCGTTGTAGCTAGGACGCTCGTAGATAGGCAAATGGCCCAAACTAAAAAGCAGCAACATCACAAAGGCAGCAAAAGTACCTAAGAGAATGGAGGCCAAACCATTGTACTGCACCAACAAGGTCAGAACCTTCATCCAGCGACTGCCATGCCAAGAATAAGACCAAAAGCGGCCAATCCGGTCACTTTGCTGACTCTTATGATACTGGCTGGAACTGGAACCCGCACGAAAAACTTGCGCACACTTCTCAAAAGCTTTGTATGCCGGCGTCACCCGCAGGACTTCCTGAGTGCTTAGCCGCCGAAGAATAGGATGAAACCAGAACACTTGATCACATGTTCCCACTCCGAACGTTTTGAGAATTATGTTTAAAACTAATTCGGAATGATTAGGAATATTTTGAGAGATCAGTCCAGAGAGGTACAAGACTTGCAAAACCGCTGTTTGGCACACATCTTTTTTTTCACGCAGCCGCTCTACTGCAGCACAAAAGGACATGAATCCATTGGCTATAGCGTGTCCATTTGGGAACTGGTGTGGTTGCGTTGGCAATAAATTAGGAAAATGCCCCATGTACATTTGGTTCTACTTTTGACAACCGAGTCCTAAACTGGAAACAACATGTTCAGTAATTACCTATTTTCATCTATTTTCAACATTCTGGTCCAACCCAAAGCATAACCACCCAAGAACATTAACAGTATAAGTATACATGCAAAACGTACCATATCATATATCATTTGTATTTATTAAAGAAAAAACGTTGTCAGGTACCAACCCTAAATACCATGTCAAGTTGGGAAATTCACCCAGCAAAACATCGCTATTCTTGGTGCATCGGTAAAAATATTCCTCGTCAATCATCATCAGAAAGCATGCCAAATTACCTTCTTCGCGTGGTCCCCACCATATGCTATTCTACCTGACGCATATTCTGCAAACTATATGTGGCACCCTATCTGACACATACTCTGGCATGATATCTGGCATTCTATCTGACATATATTCTGACATTTTACCCGGCATTCTATCCGACACATATCTTGACATTCTATCTGGCATTCTATCTGACACATCTTCTGACATTGTATCTGGCATTCTATCTGGCATTTTAATGCATTTTATCTGACATATATTCTGACATTCTATCTGGCATTCTATCTGACATATCTTCAGACATTCTATTTGGCTTTCTATCTGACATCTATTCTGACATTCTATCTGGCACATATTCTGACCTTCTATCTGGCATTCTAGCTGACACATATTCTGACATTGGATCTGGCATTCTATCGGATATATAGTCTGCCATTTTTTCCGGCATTCTATCTGGCATATATTCCGACATTCTATCTGGCACTATATCTGGCATATATTCTGACATTCTATCTGGCATATATTCGGACATTCTATCTGGCATTCTATCTGGCACATATTCGGACATTCTATCTGGCAAATATTCTGCCTGTATATCTGGCATTCTATCTGACATATATTCTGACATTCTATCTTGCATTCTTTCTGGCACTATATCTGGCATCCTATCTGGCATGTATTCTGACATCCTACCTGGCGCATATTCTGACATTGTATCTGGAATTCTATCTGACACATATTCTGACATTATATCATTTGATATCTGGCATTCTATCTGACACATATTCTGACATTAGATCTGGCATTCCATTTGAAACATATTCTGGCATTCTACCTGGCATTCTATCTGAGATATATTCTGACATTCTATCTGGCATTCTATCTGAAACATATTCTGACATTCTTTCTGATGTTCTACCACACATAGATTCTGACATTCTATCTGGCACATATTCTGCCAGTAAATCTGGCATTCTATCTGACATATATTTTGAGATTCTACCTGGCATTCTATCTGACATATATTCTTGCATGATATCTGGCAAGCAATCTGACATATATTTTATCGTGCACATATTGTGACATTGTATCTGGCATTCTATCTGGCATGTATTCCAACATTCTATCTGGCATTCTATCTGGCATTCTATCTGGCATATATTCTGACATTCTATCTGACATATATTCTGACATTCTATCTGGCACAAATTCTGCCAGTAAAACTGTCATCCTGTCTGACAGATATTCTGACATTATACCTGGCATTCTATCTGGCATACATTCTGACATTCTATCTGGCATTCTATCTGAAACATATTCTGACATTCTTTCTGATGTTCTACCACACATATATTCTGACATTCTATCTGGCACATATTCTGCCAGTAAATCTGGCATTCTACCCGACATATATTTTGAGATTCTACCTGGCATTCTATCTGACATATATATTCTTGCATGATATCTGGCAAGCAATCTGACATATATTTTATCGTGCACATATTGTGACATTGTATCTGGCATTCTATCTGGCATGTATTCCAACATTCTATCTGGCATTCTATCTGGCATATATTCTGACATTCTATCTGGCATATATTCTGACATTCTATCTGGCACAAATTCTGCCAGTAAAACTGTCATCCTGTCTGACAGATATTCTGACATTATACCTGGCATTCTATCTGGCATACATTCTGACATTCTACCTGACAAACACATATGTTGACGTTAGATCTCGCATTTTATTTGAAATACATTCTGAAGTTCATTCTCTCAATCTATCTGGCACATATTCTGACAGTCTTTCTGGCATTGTAATGCATTTTATCTAACATATATTCTGACATTCTATCTGGCACAAATTCTGACAATCTGTCATCCTATCTGACAGATATTCTGACATTCTACCTGGCATTCTATCTGGCATACATTCTGACATTCTACCTGACAAACACATATGTTGACGTTAGATCTGGCATTTTATCTGACATACATTCCGAAGTTCTTTCTCGCATTCTATCTGGCACATATTCTGCCGGTATATCTGGCATTCTAGCTGGCATACATTCCGACATTCTACCTGGCGTTCTATCTGAGGTATCAATTATGACATTATATCTTGCAATCTACCTGACCTATATTCTGACATTCTATCTGGCATTCTATCTGGCACTATATCTGGCATTCTATCTGGCATTTATTCTGACATTCTATCTGGCGCATATTCTGACATTGCATCTGGAATTCTATCTGAAACATATTCTGACATTATATCATTTGATATCTGGCATTCTATCTGACACATATTCTGACATTAGATCTGGCATTCTATCTGACATAATACGGCATTATACCTGTTTTATTGGGCATTCTATCTGGCATTCTATCTGACATCTGGCACTCGCTGTTGAGGCCCGGCAGTGCCCACTGAGATCTGGGGCTTGCGGTGCCCACTGAGATCTGGCGCTCGCAGTTGAGGGCGGGGTCCGGGGCGAGGAGGTGGAGGAAGAGGAGGCGGGGGGCGGCGTGCAGCTCGGATAAATATAGAGACCCTCACCTGGCAGGTGGGGAAGAATCCGTTATATTGCCAACTCCCCCCAATATCAAATAGCCCTCAAGACCCCCTGTTTTAGTATTGGGTATATATACTCATTTGGGGGCCCGGTCCTGGGGGTGATAATACTATTGGGAGACGGGATGATTCCCATGAAAATCAGCAAGTATCAGCATGAAATTGAAATCCCCAAACCCAATGGTTAATTATCATTACCCTGTGAAATCATCACGTGCTCTGAATAAATACACCACTATTTCACTACCAATATCTCATTAATTATATCCCTGCTGGTTACGTCCCCTGCTATTTCCAATAAATCGCAAAGTCATGAGATGTAATGGTGAATCATAATTTTCCCCTATGTTCCCTCTGAAAATGCCATATCTTCGGGGTTACTTGGAGGATCACCCCACTTAGTAATTGGGTAGTAACTGAGGTAACAACTTAACAACCCGTGTATCAATAGGAGAACCTTACAATCCGTAAAAATGATCCTTCAACAATTCCCAACATTTCCCCCATGAAATCCTACCCAACACCAACAGCCGCTCGTAAAACATTGCCTAAAACATGACCCTAGCATCCGGTCGTGTGATGGACATTTTTGCCACAAGCTCCACCAGGAAGGGAGCCAGCGTGGCAAACGACCCGATGTTCGCAGCGTTCGGCGCCTCCGGGGCGTCCGAAGCGTCCGCAACGCCATCAGCCATGGCGACCATCCAGCTACAACGAGGTCACATGGGGTCGTCAAAACTCCACCCGGCCCCCCCGCAGTTCGGGGTTTTGTTCACAATAATAAGGTACTATCATATACTGTAATTGATATAATTGATGGGATGGGGTAAGCAAGGTATCTTGGAAACCATGTGTTAAACACCTCAATCACACACATAGAGGGCCACCAGGCCCATCAGGCCCACGGAGGGCCACCACGCAACAGGGCCACTTGGCCTCCAGGCCGCAAGGCCACCAGGACTAGGCCTATCAGGCCCTACCAACCAACCTACCTACCTACATACCTACATACCTACACACCTACATACCTACATACATTCATAAAAACCTACATACATGCACACGTTCATGAATACATACATAAATACATAAATACATACATACATAAATAAATACATACATACATTACATTACATTACATCGCATTAAATTACATGACATGACATTACATTACATTACATTACATACATTGCATACATTACATACATTACATACAGTACATACATTACATACAGTACATACATTACATACATTACATACATTACATACATAGCATGAATAGCATACATAGCATGAATAGCATACATAGCATACATAGCATACATAGCATACATAACATACATAACATACATACCATACATAACATACATTACATACATTACATACATCTGGCCAAATTACTTTAATTCTTACCTCGTCTCCCTCGTGTCTTAATTTGTTCCCCATGATTACTGTCCTCGTTCGTTAATTTGCAGGTGCAAATTAAGGCTTTACCTCGTTAATTCGAAGGAAGAAAGTAGCTTGTGGGCCTTCTTTCCAGGGTCCAACCCCAATGAAAAAAAACTTTTCAGCTTCCGAAAAGTTTTTTTCCACGATCCACGGTCTCTTGCAGGGATTTTTAAGTCTGAGTCTGATCGCTCTTTTCGCTTCTTTCCGCTTCTTCCGCTTGGGTGCTGACATCTCTGACATTATCGCACAAATGCAATGCTCTTCTGCAGCAACTCTCAATCCTACTGCTTCTGCAGCCGTCAACCCACGAAGCGCTGGCGATAGAAAATTAAGCTTTTTGGGGCCTGAAAAGTTTTTTTTCCTTCCTTGCCTGCTGACCGGCCTCTGGCGATAGAAAATAAAACTTTTTGGGGCCTGAAAAGTTGTTTTTCCTTCCTTGCCTGCTGACCGGCCTCTGGCGATAGAAAATAAAACTTTTTGGGGCCTGAAAAGTTTTTTTTCCTTCCTTGCCTGCTGACCGGCCTCTGGCGATAGAAAATAAAACTTTTTGGGGCCTGAAAAGTTGTTTTTCCTTCCTTGCCTGCTGACTGGCCTCTGGCGATAGAAAATAAAACTTTTTGGGGCCTGAAAAGTTTTTTTTCCTTCCTTGCCTGCTGACCGGCCTCTGGCGATAGAAAATAAAACTTTTTGGGGCCTGAAAAGTTTTTTTTCCTTCCTTGCCTGCTGACCGGCCTCTGGCGATAGAAAATAAAACTTTTTGGGGCCTGAAAAGTTTTTTTTCCTTCCTTGCCTGCTGACCGGCCTCTGGCGATAGAAAATAAAACTTTTTGGGGCCTGAAAAGTTTTTTTTCCTTCCTTGCCTGCTGACCGGCCTCTGGCCCCCAAAAAAGTTTTCTAGCCAAGCCCAAGCATGCAACAGAACCAATGCAAGGCTACCTCGTCGAGGTCGGCTAATTCTGATGAGCAAATTAAGGGCTGACCTCGCTAATTCCTGCAACCTGCCTCGTTGCCTCGGCTGTCCTCGCTACAATTTGTGCAGATACATTACATACATTACATACATAACATACATAACATACATACCATATGTAACATACATAACATACATAACATACATAACATGCATAACATACATAGCACACATAACATACATAACATACATACCATACATAACAGAAATACACACCATACATACCATACATACCATACATACATACAAACAAACAAACATACATACATACATGCATACATCACATCACATCCCATCCCATCACATCACATCACATCACATCACATTACATTACATTACATTACACACATACATACATACATTAATTACATACATTACTATATACATACATAGGACATTCAGGCTTTGAAGCACAATCAAAACTAATCAACTGTGTTCTATGACCCAAAGACCCAGCTTCAATCTATAGAAGGGTAGGAGCCAGTATACGTATATATACATATATATATATATGTATGGACACCTACGCATGTAGAAAAAACAACAAATCAAAGTCATATTGTTTACATCAACAAATAAATCACAGCAGATACAAAGGAAGAGAAGTGCCTTGGTATGTATGCCTACAAGTATCTACAAAGACAAAATAGCCATATAAAGGTTTAGATGTATATTCGTTCACTCAAAAAAAACAAGAAACATGCAAATGCATGTATGTATTTATATGTCTGTAGGTAGGTAGGTAAGGTTAGGTAAGGTTAGGTAAGGTTAGGTAAGGTTAGGTTAGGTTAGGTTAGGTTAGGTAGGTAGGTGGGTAGGTAGGTAGGTAGGTAGGTAGGTATGTACGTACGTATGTATGTAACGTACGTACGTATCTATTTGTGAACGTATGCATGTCTGTAGGTATTTATGAATGTATGTAAGTATGTAGGTGTGTAGGTATGTAGGTATGTAGGTAGGTAGGTAGGTCGGTGGTAGGTAGGTAGGTAGGTTGGTAGGTTGGTAGGGCCTGATAGGCCTAGTCCTGGTGGCCTTGCGGCCTGGTAGGCCAAGTGGCCCTGGGGCTCCGTGGGCCTGATGGGCCTGGTGGCCCTCTATGGGTGTGATTGAGGTGTTTAACATATGGTTTCCTAGTGTTTAAGTTGCCTTGCTTACCCTTTTGGGATAGACATGGATAATTATATCAGCCTTGCATGCGCGGCCTATTCCGAACCCATCTTGGGCTACGCTGCCACACTTGAATATCTCCCACTCTGCTTGGAGGACTTTGTTTTTGGTGCAAACCAATAAAAACCTCATGATGTCATGGTGACTCTGTTGCGGCACAGGATGACACGATCCCTATACTTAGATGCTACCTATGAGTCTGCCAAGCCTGCTTTCCTCAGTACAGCGGATTACTTAGTTCTGCTGTAAACAAAAAGCTCAACTTAGTTCTGCTCTCTCAGTGTATATTGAATGACTTTCTGAACGGAATGCACATTGCAACGGCGGCAGAGTCAATTTCTTTTATGTGAATTTGTAAAAGAAACTAGGAGGGCGACACACTAATCAAAATATGCATGTTGTATTAGATCAAAATTTTGCAGAAATTCCCCTTTATTGAAAAGATGGTAATTACGCAAAATTTGCTGGTTGGTCAACATTAATATACATTAATTATCCTATCAATTGACCATCAATTCGGGGGATTGCATTCCATTTTCAGTCATTTTTTATCGTTTTTCTTTCTGGGCGTTGGAACGCAAACAAACACCATGTCCAAGAAAATATGCATCATCATGCCTGATCATTTTCCCAAAAACGAGCGCTATGGAATTCCAATCATGTCACAATTGCATACAAGTGCATGTTTTCCATGGAATAAATCTAGTCTTAGGTGATGAAAACATAGTTAAATATTCATGGTCAGGTTGCAGCCTCCATCATTCACACTGCTGATGAAACACTTGAAACGACACCTCAACCCCAATGGGAATCTGACCATTGGCTCTTCGTGCTTCACTGTACTAGATGTGGAATTAACATGAATTCACATAGTTGAGCGTGAGCAAGTCGAGAGGTCAAATAAAACAGAAACACATCTATATAATTAGCTATAATACACCAATCAGCACAGATTTGGGCAACTGGTCGGCCATAAACTATGCCATAAACTCAGCTATACTCCGCCGTCTTCATGGGTGTATCACCAACCTCATGGATTACAGTTTCCCGTTTCCCTTGGTTTCCACATCCAAACTTCTTCTACTCTTTGCCGCAAGTAGAGCATTCAAAAGAGATGACGCAACTTCAAACAAGGACCGAACACATCCCAACTCTAATCTGTTGGATTGTTTTCACCAAAAAAACATCCAAACATAACATGTTTGCGGATCACCATCTCAGCTGGAGATGAACATCACAAAAATAGGATATAACACCAACATTTTTGGAACTATCCTTCAGCAAAAAAGGTCTGAAACAATGGCGATTCCGCCCGATTCCGCCCCTCAGTGGCTGCGCCTGCGTTTGCTTGACGCTGTACCATAGGTATTTGCCTCACCAATGGAGCCGAACTCACTGAACGGCTTCACACTGGGTACCCGGTATCCGTTCAAAAAAAGAGGCTGGATGGTCCGCACATATGCGAAAAGTATCCCAAAATGGCTTACTGTTTCCATTTTAACTTAGGAATGACGGAATGATTAGAATTTGCCTATTTTTTGTGCCGTATTTCCCCAGTCAAAAAAGCGGTCAAAAGCACCGCTCTGCCGGCAGATCCCAGTGTTCCCACGGCAAAACCACCATGGCCTCCCGCTCTGTTCGTCCAAGGATCTGAGGGAATCATCGGCTTCCTTCCGATAGCAGGCGCAACAGCAGTTGCGCCAGGCATCATAGGCCCGTTTCCTGGCAACGGGCGGCGATGCGACGCATTTTCATGGGAGATATAAGTGGATAGGCGGATAGACCTATCTATGTAGATATATATATATATATATGTGTGTGTAGATATTACTCTACGCCAAATCATAAAAACCATTTATATGAGTGTATGTGTCCAAGATACTATCTAGTATGTGTGCATGTGTACATATACAGTCAAACTAAATAAATATATATATATATATGTATCAACATATGCTGCACATGTATATATGTGTGCACACACATCGTTCTTCATGTGCACATATTACACACACATGTATATATACTTAAATAAATATTGATTCTGCTGATAAGGAATGTATGAGGCAAGCATACTGAACATGGCGCCGATCCATAGTCACACCATTCGGACTCTAATGTTACCCTCTAGTGAACTAACAGTTCGCTATGGAAGCCATGGCCCATTCATCGATGATTTACCTATTAAAAATAATATATTGAAATGATGATTTTAGAGTTCGCTTCTTGTATGTTTACCAAAGACTAGACCTCCATTTTCCTATGGTTTTCCCATGGTTTTCCCACCGCACTATTTGTCACGTCTGGCCTGACACTGTGTGCAAAGGCGATGCGAGAGCGTTCGCGTTGGAAACTGAGGTGCCGATTTCGGTATGCCTGGGCATAGCCTCAGTAATAGAATTGGGAAGAAACCATACAGGATTGGTTTATAACTATAAGTTGGTTTATAACCCCATCTAAATACAACTATAAGTACCATACGCTATTGTTATGACATAGTTATAAAATGTTATGAACCAACTTAGCTAACTACAACTATGGGTGCCCATGGCCCCATCCTGTAACTTTTCTTACCATCAATCTGCATAATTAAAGTCCAAGGATCATCTCACGAATCGTGGGTCTTCTTCTGTTCGAACGTTCATTCATTGTGGTTGACAATCCTGGTATCTGGTAATCATAGTCCACATCAATCCACATTAAATTACAATTTTTCCAGGCTGCCTTTTTTACCAATCTACAAGGTGAAGCCCCCCAGTTATGTTTGTCGCTTTGTAAAGCATTGAGTTAGTTCGATGCATCCACCATATACATCCATATACCATAGCTGCTATAGCTAACCTAGGTCTAAGTCAACCTAGCATAACCTAGCTATTGTTTGGGAGCCTCACCTTGTACCTTGATTTTGGATACAATAAATTAAAGGTACAATTTACCCACCTCAAATAATTTCTAAGCCTTGGTTTTCAGATGGGAAAACTCACAAACCGGAAAGCCTGGTTTGGGGGATGAACAGCGACCAACTAACATCTTGGTGAATCGTAAGGGCGAATCGTAACAACCAATAACCACTAATTTCCACCAAGGGCAAACGTCGGCCATGAATTTTCTTCAATCCTCGAAACAACATCTGCTCGGTACTTTTTTGCGCCCCGCTTTTCGAAACATGCTCGGCAGTGGGGATGATCATCCCATTTCTATGGTTGAAAGTGGAACAAAAACAAAATCAAACATATTCAAACCACCAACCACCATTGATTTTATTGATTAGCCAAATTTCCCATGTGATACAGTCACACATGGCTTGATCATTGGGTTTTGGCAATGATCCCATTTAGTTTCAGGGAATCAGGGCGTTTACCGTCAACTATCTATATTCTGGGCACATTTCTGGACAGAGCCTACCATGGCGCCATGGTTTCGTGGAGGAATCACCACGAAACCATGATCGATGATGGGAGCGATAAGGATGACCATCAAATAGAGACATGGGATTGTAAAGTGTTGTAAATCCGCACACCGATTCACTGTTGTGGTTTTATCTACCAGTAGTGTACTGCAGTTGAATGGGGACATAAAATGACATAACCCACCCTGCTAGGGGAGATCTCTGCAATGTTCAGGAGGTGGAGTTGCAGGGTGAGTAGCTTCCCACATGTTAAGCAACAAGAGAGACAGGGAGTTTGAACCACCTACCGGAACAGGGGGAACATGCCAGCTTGTAAACGGGCGACAATAAAATGTAAGAACTAAGAGTCCAAGATTTTGAGTACCAACAATCTCATAACCCAGTTCTATTGCTATATATGGAAGATTCCCTGGTACACATGGCTTATCTATGGGTTACCATGCCTGGCGTTGCGGCATGTCCAAGTACCGTTCAAAAAGCCTAGGGCCAAGGTGCTCTCTGAGAGAATGCCAATGAAGATGTTCCTGGACATCCAAAACGGCTATCCAGCTGGCTTTCGCTCAGGACTCCATCCATCAGTATGCAGTATACATGTTATGTAAAAAATGACATCAAAATAAGTTAAAGGGCAAACCAAAGTATACAGTACCCAACACTAAAGGGTATACTCAAAGACGTTCCTGGTCGCAAATCCCCAAAGGTAGCCAATGTACAAATTGAATCAAATTGATTCAATCCTTCTGCGCCGTGAAGGCAAATAGGACGCACCTTATCAGTACTCTCGGAATCCCTTTCACCCTAAGAGTTCAACCTACTGGGTGGTTTCAACACCCCTGCAAAATATTGCTACGGCCGGGATATCTTGGGATCATCACACCATTTCCAAAAAAAAACATGTTTGAAACCAGCAACCGGTTTCACTGGTCAATATCCAGTTTTATCCCCATCTTGTTGGTGCATTCCTCATTTACCTCTCGTAATTATCAACAGTTTGCGAACTGGAAAAACACAATTTCAAAGGGCAAAGCACCAGCAAGAAAAAAAACACTAGCGACCTCCAGTTCAGCAGGAAGTCTGGTATCGTTCTGCGGTCAGCCATCGCAGAAACTGCTTTGAGTATTATGTCATAGTATGTCCACAACCCAATCCTGTGACTAGAATATCCCAGGCAGACTCCATGTTCAAATCCAAACCTAAGATCGGTGTTTTCCTTTTAGATATCCACGCACATACACATACACACACACACATATATATATATATATAAATATTATGTCAACTTACGTTACTATCTTGTTCGAGGGTGCTCTCTCTCTCTCTCTCTCTCTCGCGCTCTCTCTGTAAGTACATATGCAGTATATATATATGTGTGTGTGTATGTGTGTGTGTGTGTCCGCGTTTGTCTGAAAATATAGAGTTCTCCTAAAGACCGGTGAATCATCAGGCACCCATCAAATGAGAATTGTTGTGGTGTTCAATTCCCTCGTTTTAAGACACACTCAAAACAAAATATCAAAGTTGCTGGTTACCTATTTTCCATCTTATATTCCCCATTAAATCCGATACTTTCCTACATGTTCCCTCAAACAAATGGGGTTCCCTTAAAAAAAACACCGCCATCGCCAACTTTACCATCTGCGGGCAAAGGCACATCATCACCACGGTCATAATCAGAGCCGTGAAGATGCCAAGGACCTGAGCCGTAGGGAATGGAGCTTGCTGGGATGATGATGAACATAGTCATAGAATGGATAGGGCATACATGGAAATACTGGTAAATGTCCTGATGCTGCATGATGCTGCCAAAACCACAATGACCATTTTAGGGGCCTAAATTAGAGGTACGTATACCATATATCAGACCTATGTTTTAAAGCTATGTAAGGTGATATATACCCCCCAAATATCAGGAGGAAACCAAGTAATTTATTGGTGCTAAACGAAGTTACTAATGGGGAATATTGTCCATAAGGGGAATGGGAATGGGAACAAGTATCATTAATGGGAGTGGGAGTTGCTGCTTAGTGACAATAACGATCAATGAATGGGGGAATCATCCATACTTACTATTATGAAACCATGAATGGGAATGGGGGAATGATTCATTCTATGACTATTTTCATAATCATCCCAGCACCCCATCCCCTACGTTTAGCACCTGTCAGCAGCAGGAAATGACAATTTAAAATTCTGCTAAAATGATGAGAACCAATAGTCACCTAAGATCTCTGAAGCGTGAAACTGGTGGTGAAGAGATGCTTAGGAAACACCAAGGTATCTATATCTATATATATATATGTATGTAGCGAGATATATATATATATATACCGTCCAAGTAATGACAAAGGTTGTTTGATCTGTCTTTCTTGTTTTCCCTTGTTTCCAGACCTAGAGGTAGCCATGGGTTTAGGCTACCCCATCTTGGAAAACACTTCTGGGCTCATGGATCACCCCCTTCCGCCTTACATCCCATGATGTGCTCGGGTTCATACACAGAAATGGGATGCTCGAATCAAATTCTCGTTGTACGCATGGTCTCTGCTGTTTTATAATGTTCCATCTCAAAGTTACACAGTCAAGTAGCTAGTTAAACTAGTCGCTTTAACATGTTTTAACTAGCGTGTGGTGAAATGAAGAGTGGCAATGGGAAATCCACTATAAATGGACGTTTCAGTAGGAGAATCATGAGAAATTGACTGGCGCAACTCCCACATTCCGAATGCCCAATTGGGCGCTCCGGCGGCTGCCATGTCTCTGGCGGGATCCTTTGTGACTGCCATGTCAATGGGAATTTCCGGACACAAATGGAGGTACAATATAAAGACAGATTTTTTTTGGTGCAGAACAAAACACCAGCCATTGATTTAGTGAACATGAAATGAATTAAATACAAGCAATGATCCAGGCATTTGGTCCGTTTGGGATTCTGATTTTTATCCTGAACGATGTCTTTGTGGATGGTGCAATTAAAACAAATCGGATGTACATGATCATCATGGGTCCTCAACAACGACACTACCTCGAAAGCAACACACAGCAGTAGAGGGATTCATGTTTGGGTGCTTGTTCGGGCAATGAGATTGACACTTCCTAAATTACCATCCACATATTGCGGCATATAATAAGTAATTACTGTAATGTATGAGAGGTCAGCATGTCTGTCTGTTTAGATCCCTGTGACCCTACGCGTAGCTTAAATCTCGGCAAGCATTGATATACACATATGTGGATCAAAACGTTGATGCCCTGCAGTATCCCATCACCGGTTTTTGATTCAAAGGACCCCAGTGCAGGAAATCCTGGGTGGAAAGAAACAAAGTTTGTTCAATGGGTAAAAACAATCACTACAGTAGTTTGTGAGTGAGCTACGCTTCCAACGAACAATATGAAAGTCAATAGGGGCCTGCATCATCCGATTCCCCAGGGAACAAAATCGGCAAATCTTTGGAACCACGTACCAGAGCAAAACTGTTCGGTGATATTCGCAAATATCCTAGTATCCCAAGTCTTCTTCGGTTACCCTCCGGAAATCAAACATGGCAACTAAAAATATCCTTTATATATATATATATATGAAGGTGTCAATATGAAACCCGTCTATAAACGGTGGATTTTCCATTGGTTATTTTCGTTTGATATGGTTTTCCATCCACATCCCTTCTCGTTGAGCATATCCCAATGTTTTTTTCTGCAGAGCATAGCCGCGCAAGCGACTGTCCTACAAGGACACATCCCACTAGCTGCCCCCTTGCACATCGGAACCGTCAGGAGCAAAGTGGGGATGATCATCCCAAAGTGGTTGAAAGCAAACAATGTTTGAAAGCAACACTCAATTTCACTGGTGAATATCCAGTTAACCTCTGTTAATTTAACATAGCTATGGAACTATGGCATATCAAAATCCTCATTTTTGATAGGCAAATGATCTATAAAAATACAGAAATAATATATATATATATAAATAACAATTTTCCATAGCAAACTGTTAAATTACCAAAGGCCACAAATCCCCATTGATTGGTGCATTCCCCAAAATAACCTTAGCACTTTCCCGGGCCTCCCGGCCTCATCTTGGGAATTCCAGACTCGATGTTCCAGGTCGCTGAGAAATCCCAAGCGATAAATCACGAAGAAACTGTGAAAGATCGACTCCTAATGTGGCTCGGATCGCTTGAAGTAACATTTGTAACATGTTGAACTGGATGATGTTGTGCATTTAGCAAAGAAATGGCGCGCTCAACAAACGATTAACACTCAACGTATAGTACTGAAATTTGCAGTGAGCTTTCCCAATACAACTACACGTAAGCATCAGTTTGATTTCAGAAACAAGGCTTGGATTGAAGGGCCTCAATTTCGTTTAAACTATATAACCACCAAAAACGGGTTTTGAAGCAATCAAGGCGGGAAAAAATAACTGACAATCAGCTTCAAATTTGTTGGGTTTGCCTTGTGATTTCCCATACTATCTACATACATATATATATATATAAATCAAATAATTCTCTGATGGTGTGGGCTTTGCTTATGGTGGGTCACGGGAATCGTGCGATTTTCACGGAGACGGCGAAGGAAGTTGGGAAGCTCATGATGCTTCTGATTGTCTACAGATATCATCAACAAAAAGGATTGACTATGATACAAGGTTCCATAGCCAACTTGGCTTTTACCTATGATAACTGGGTTTTATCGTGGGTTTACCAACGTACAGTAAAATTGAGGGGCCACCTTGTAGTGTATCTAGGTTGCTGTCTATACGTGTTTCCCAACAAAACATGAACCTCCAGTGGGTCAACACCGACCCCTCAACATTGTGAAACACCTGCAGTCGACAAGTGGCATACCATAGCATACCCCTTCGCCTTCGTCCGTTTGCATCCATTTGCAGGAAAACAACACGCCATACCGCCAAAAAGTGGTCTATCATTGGCTATGTCGTCCAAAATACACCAACTGTTCCTGTTTAAAACCCATGAAATCACCCTGAATTCCATTATACCCCATTAAATGTCCATTACATCTCACTCAATACAATAAAATCCCATTAAATCGCAATTAATCACAACACAATTCCATAAAACCCCATGAAATCGCAATCAAACCCCATAAAATCCCATAAAACACCACAAAATCCCATGAAATCCCATGACATTCCCCATTTTCACCGCCCTTTGACCCCTCCAAAACGGTATGCGTTTTGAACACGCCGTCCAAGGCACTGAGCCGCTCAAGCCCAAGGCAACGTAGGCGTTGGTGAAGGCGCAACAGGCCACCATCCTGAGGGTGAAAACTGACCATTTAGAGAGTAACATCAGTGGGATTATGTAACTATTAACTATTGGATATGGTTAATCTATAGTTACTAACGGTTAATCCATAGTTAATATTAATCACTGGGATTAACTAAATGATTGGTTGGTGGTATACCTACCCCTCTGAAAAATGATGGACTTCGTCAGTTGGGATGATATCTCTTGGATGTTTTTACCGGTTGCCACCAATCAGACTAAATGATAATTAACTATTGGATAGAAACAACAAATGAAAATTAACTATTGGATGTTTTTTACCATTTGTACTTGGGATTTTGTATTCATATTTTGGTATAATCTATCTTCTATTTATTGTTTTTTCCGCGCTTCCAAACCAGTGTTAAAACGAAAATTGGTTCTCTGATAATTCCCGAATATCCTCTATAATCACGGAATGCAGTATAAACCATTTATATGGTGAGTTTAATTTGTCTTAACCCGACAGTTAATCACTGGTATAATTACTTAAACCAATCAGTTATGTAAATGGCAATTAACTATTGGGTAAGATAAACGAAGTAAATATTCTCAAGTAGTTAATGACCATTTATAATTAATTGGTTTTATCATTCCGTCATTCCAGTTGTATAAAATCATTTAGGTGACAGTAAGATCACTTGGGTTAACGTAATAAATGATCTACTATTATCAATCTACTATCGTAAATAATTACTATCAATCATAATATTAAGAAATTGTCATAAATGCTAGACTATAGTACAAATTGAATAATCTAGATGAGATTTGATAGTACTAAGTCAATCCATTGGACTAGCATTGGCATAAACCACACAAAATAGCAATCGTAAAATCACTGGGATTGAGTAATTAAAAAAATGCTATATAGTTCAAATGATAAACTAGAGCAAATCATTTACCAGTATATGACACCATTACAGTGATAAATCACCATCGAAAAAATCGTAAATATTACTGTATTTTGACTGGAAACAATGGAAATCATTATAAGAAAACCGTTATTTCCAAAATCTTTCCAGTCCAATAATGATTGTGCTGGAAAAATTGAAAATCAATAGGAGAAAAGGATGGTGAAATAATGGTTTGTACCCCCTATGAATAAAAATAGAACCAGAACCGTAAGTTGATGATTAGGGTCTCATCAACTTTGAAATCATGTTTTTATTATGCTTATAAAGGTATTAAATTGGTTATTAGGCGGAAAGCTTCGAAATCAAACCCTTTGCAATATTTTAAAGGGATTTTAGAAGGGCTTTAATTGATTTTAAATCACTCTTTTTTATCAAGGTTTTACTATTAGGGGAAAGCTTCGAATCCAATTTTTGGCAATATTTTAAAAGGAGTTAAAAAGTGATTTAATTGATTTTGGAACTTTAAAAAAATAATTAAGGTTTTTGTTTTATTATTAGGGGCACCCTAATACTAAATACCACCTGATAATAAAAATAGATCACCGTGTTTAGAATTTGGGGGGTGTTTTAGTATTAGAGAGCAGAGATTATATAGGTACATGTAATAGCTAAATCATCAAACTAAATGTAAATTTATATAGCTATGATATGCTATGATACTTTGCCAAAAAGTAACTCGTCTTAAGTCCCAGTGTATAAATACGATAAAATCACCATGAGATCCCATGAATCCCTTCAAAATCAACATGCAGTTCCCTCAAATTTCCTATAAAACCCAATGAAAATCGCCATTGGGACGCACCCCTGCCCAGATGTTGCGGGGCCAAGGCGCACGATAGCCCCGAAGGTACGCGAGGATAACCTTGATGGAATGCTGATGACTATAGGGGTCCGTCCCAACAAGGAAAAAACATCGTTGATTCAATGCTATCTAAATATAACGAATATCATTTACTATGTAAATCTATCAGTATACACAAAAGTGTCAATATACACATACGTATGCTGCTTATATACATAAATAATATATATATAGTTATATAATATGTTAATATATGTTATCCATATATAAATATATCTCTCTGTGTGCTTTTCCCATTCCAATCAAGTTGAAAATCTTTATCCACCGGGGCAACCTGGGTAAAAACCCAGTTGGTGATTTTTTCGATATCTTGTTCAAAGAATTGCTCTTCCACTGCTATGGGGCCTGCCTCATCAGCATCTTGGGCCATAAAGCTCCCCGACGAGATTTGCTCAAACATAAGACACGAAATTGATGAGGTGAACTTCAATCCACTCTGCTAAGCACAGCTAAGCACAGCTAAGCACACAAGCATAGCAATGATTTTCAATACCGTATTATAGTATAATTTCAAAGTCGCACATGCCGCACATGATTCGACCGAACCATACTTAACGATACTTAGCGATGATCATATGCCACTACCATGGTTGACCTAGCGTGGATTGGGGGGTTCCCAGTTCCCATATGTTCCCATCCAGATATGCCACTGTATCCAACCATTCCCGGCCGCGGGGCAGTGCCCGCTCAATGGGCAAAACCTGGCGGGAGAAGAAGTGGTGTGCAGGTGTGCTGAAATCTGATGGAAAACAAATGGTCTAAAATTGGTATGTAATTCCACTGGGAATCTAATGGAGTTCAACCAACTATAATGGATTTATAATTGTGCTCCATCTCTGCCAATCAACCTGGCAAACTGACTATCAAACCAGTTCGTCAACACACCAATGAACCAATTTCAAACCTGCCTATCAATAGTTCTCAATAAATATTCACCAAAGAATCGAAAACCAACAAATCAAAGCAAATAAATCTAAATCGATCCGGGTTTCCTGTACATGTTTTTCCTCCCTGAATCAACTTACAATGTACCAATGGCCTGTGACTATGATAGACAAGGAATCAGACACTGGGATGATATGAGTAAATTCATCATCCCAACCTCTGGCAATGGACCATCATCCCACATCTGACTCACCAAATCATTGAAATTCATTCATTTTTCTGCCCCAGGACGAGTTAAACCTAGTTAAACCATGAATTCACCCATCCTTTTAGATCTCATTCCCAATGCAAATTTCCACACTTTTTTTCCTATTCAATCTCATCAAATCCTCCGCATTCATCCCATCCCATGAAATCGCCATGAAAATTACCCATGAAATTTTCATATTTTCAATCCTGAAAATCATTGAAAACCACCATTGAAAATCCCATGAAATCCGCCATTTTTAGAGCCATAAAACCACCCATAAATCCCAGCGGCCTTCTCTCCGACCCACTGATAGCCCCGGAAGGTGGTCAACACGTCCCCCCAGCGGAAGAGCGCAGTCACGGCCAGCAACACGCCTCTGAAAAAAAAAACGGCTGGGTCAAAAGGGAATATATACCTATATATATATACATACATAATTCTATCCATGTTTAGCATATATAATTCTAGATAATTATACTATAGAATGCTATAATATATATATATATGTATATACATTACTACGTAGGTTTGTTGATGGACATGAATGAAATTAAACCATATCGTTTCTTGATTGACATCAAATATAAAACTATAAAGGGACAGAATGGTATAAGAGCAAACATATAGTTGATGGGGATTCATTTTGAAATATCATCGGGAAATGGATGCCCCTCATCTGAGCTTGGCTGGTTTTTGATTGTTGGTTTCCGTTTCAACCCGTCCAGCTATTGTTGGGCTTGCAGGCCGTGTTGTCTCATCTCGAAATGGGGTCCCCAAATCCCATGATTGTCCCACATCGCAATGATTTTACGGAGATCCCAGCATCTTGTAATATGACCCAAGACTACACCAGACCTTCCATAGAAAATCCTACAAGGTGAGACAAGTCGTAGCCAAGTTGACTTAGTTCACTTGATGAACTATGATTTTATGGAAGATGTATTCATAGATAATGGGTTTCTAAGCCAACTTATAACACTTGTCATAACACTTATAACCGGGACATCACCTTGTAAGCGATTCCTCCAAAGCATATCAAAACAAAGCCAAGCCACTAAGGTCGCTGGAAGGTCGCTGCCACTGCTCCGGCTCCAGAGCTAAGAAGGCCAAGACCATGTAGCTCAGAACCAAACGACACCAGTCCAGTGAATTGCCCACCTGCAGTGAATTGGCCCTTTAATACCACCTTTAAGTCAGCTACAACTAAAAATTAAACACCCATTTATGGACTGTATAACCCCAAACAGTACCATACAGTAACAAACATGACAATAAGGATGATTATTATGACTTTGAACACATATGATTATTCACTCCCTCTTCTCTTCTGTACTCTTCTTCTATGCGTGTTATATGTATATATATATATCTATGTATGTATGTATGTATGTATGTATGTATGTATGTATGTATGTATGTATGTATGTATGTATGTGTGTGTGTGTCATGTGTGCTTAGGGCACAAACAAGCCTTGGAACTTCATGAGCTTTCGATGTTGGTAAGCCCATCAACCTCTTCCTGTCACTCTTACGTGTCCCATACATGCATTATGCCTTGACAGTTCCAGCTTTTGATTTTGCTGCCTCTACTACTCCGCTAAAGAAACAAAGCCATGAAGAATTGTAAATCCTAAATGCTATATCAGTTCAGTGGTGAATATGTTCTCAGTTGTGGGCATCCTTCAAGAGAACAAGATGAGAAAATCCACAAGGAAGGCAACAACTACCCCCAGCCAGCAGTTGTCCTTGCTTATGCTTGCTCTCACCGTTTTCGTTGAACACCCCACGCTTGTCAGCGTCTCTCTAGAACTCTCAAATCTTTTGATATCGATATGGGGCATATGTCCAGTATGTTTTATGCGTTTTATCACAGTTTGATTCAGCTTGTGCAATTTGGTTGACTCCACATTTCTGATAGTTCCCCAAGTAAGCTGGGCCCTGCTTTCCCCTCATGCGCGGCTTTAAGGAGCTGTTTTTGTTGTGGAGATGTTGCATTTCTTAGCACTTCCCTCGGTTTCCTGCCCATTTCCCCCGTCGCACCTGAAACCAATACTGGCGAAGCCTCGGGGAAAACACACAATTTGTAAAAAAAACAGAGCCGCATGTTCATGCTATTTTTTCATGTTGGTTTGGTTGTCTACCTTTTTGAGGACAATATTAAGAGAGAAAGAGAGAGAGAGATATATATATATACATACATAGAATGGGGTGCAACTCAAGAACGTACATGCGATCCTTCCAACAGAACCCCCCTTCTTTAACCACACAAAAGAGCATAATTACATGCGATCGTGCCAACAACCTGTTTAAAACCACAAAACAAGGTCAATAGGCATATTTGGACAGTTTTACCCTCAACACTTGGAGACATAACAATGGGATTCGCCCAGGTCGCTTGACGAAGAAATACTTCTGGATCAAGTGGCCAAAGTATCCACACTTCAAAGGTTAACTGAAAGTGTTGGGAAAAGCACTAAACCCAAGGGTATACATGGGCATACCCATTTTCAAACACACGCCCATCAAACTTCTATGCAGACCAAGAGTCTTTCCCAACAAGAACATGCCCTGCATCAAGCACAGCTCTTTTAATAAATTCACCGTCACCTCAAGAGTCAAGATCAAGGTCGAGGTCCAAGTGTGGATCTGCAAAGTCACTTTCAGACTCTTGAAACCGCCCAAAACCACGGGAGACAACTGTTTGACTGCGGATCAAACTTCGAAATGCTCTTCCCGACACATACCGCGTAATATATGGTGCATAAATTGTGTGAATGAACATGTAGATACACATTTTCTTTCCAAATTGAGCTGACTATAATACTTTATGCATATATAATATATATATATATATACAATTACATATACATATACATGCCATTTACATACGCAGCCATACACATTTACATATGATACATAACTTCTTCGGAACTATTTGGGGTATAATCTAGGGCTTGATCCGTATCCCTTCTCAGGGTGTTGCTTCGATCCACAGGGATATGATATGGTTGCGTCTTGCTTCAAGGCAACCCCATTGAGAATCAAATAAAATCCCATGAAACTCCATTAAATCTTCATTAAACCCCTATTGAACCCCCGTAAAAATCACCATGCAATCACCATTAAATCCCCCTGAAACCGTCATTAAATCTCCAGCCACCATGAAATCATCCAAGTTCTTGCTGTTTTTTCATGGGAAATTCGCAAAATTCAATCGGCCAGGACGCCAGCACTGCGGCGGTACCAAGCAGCACGAAACCAAAGGCACTCGCTGGCCTCGAAGGATCAGCCCAGGTCTGATCGAACATAGGTTGATACATTGCCATTAGATAAAACATGTTAGCTGATTAGTAGGTACATATTCGTATAGCGAAAGATTAAAGGATTAAACGGACCAAGGTTGACCTAGGATATTGGTTAATACCAACCAAAAATGAGGTTTGATGAGGGTTAATAGGGGGGTTGAATGCAAATTGGTTAGTGTCTGTGGGCTCAATTCACCCTGTTACGGTATGGGATAACACCACTTAAGAGACTTGCGATATCTTACGATCACCGGGGGTTAACAACCAGTCATGCGTGGAAGATGCAGCTCCAAATCTGTTGGACTGCCTTTTAGGCAGTTGGATGCACAACCATACAAGCTCAAAACCCTGATATGTACATGTATATATATATATAATTTGTATATATATATAATCATGCCTAATCCAATGTGAACATCTGATAACCACAAGTATATGAAGGGTAGTATCTGGCAGTTGGATGATGATTATTATCACCAGTTAATCTTGGTATTGGTATATTATCCATGTTGATCAGTATCTCTAATATACTTTGGATCATATCGAAAAATCCACCATTGATTACATATAATCACTAATATATTATGTTCCATCCCGGAACCAGTCATCCAACCCTTACGGGGGTAGATTGCAGCCCGGTGACTCGGCCCTGCTCAAAAAGATGGTAATGACAGCGAAAAAAATCCTCGGTTTCCGCGGCGAAAAACAGCATGGATCGATATGAATTCATGATACTGATACTAATGGGATGTATCGAATCTGGTGCAAATGTTATATATGTATATACACAATCTATTCACCAACCTGATTGGTTTGATGATGATGATGGTGATGATCATGATCAATATCGTGACCAGTGATGAGCGTGAAAGCAACCAAGAGAAAACGTGATGATAGTAAGAACATGCAATAAGTAATGTCCACCGTGTCTGGAACTTGGACTGTGGTATGGTTTTTCAGACCGGAATCTTCCTGTACTCCAAATAAGAACTAAATCAACAAGACATAAGCGGAACACTCCCCATTGACTCCCCGTACCCTCTGACAATTTAACACAGCCATGGGAAATCACAAATGTTAATAAATACATCCTCGAAAGAAATGGGCCATGTGTACCATACCCCGGAAAAACAAAAAACAATCAACAAAACGAGTAATCATTATATAATCATGATCAATCATAATTAACCACCATTAATCGCTACAAGTTGGTTTGAACCCGTCTTACTTAGTTCACGAACTGTTTACCAACATCTAGTTATCACAAATCAGCGCTATTAACAAGAGAGCATTCATTTATTTATTTATTTATCCACCATCCTTGCTGATAAATTCATCTAAAATTCCCAGTTTTGCCGCTGAAATCCCTATTTTTGAAGACTAACCAACCATCAACCAACCATCGTTGAATCAATGATCGAAGGAAGTTTAGAAGTCAAACTTCCAACAGTATGGACAGATGAAAAGCAGAGATGGGAAGAGTCAAAGAAGAGAAGAGAAGAAGAAGGAAGATCAAAAAAGAGAAAGTCTCAGAAGAAAGAAGATCCAAGTGCGCGAAAAGGTAGGAAAGTCGCGAAACACTCTGTTTTTTCCAATGATTTGTGGCTCCCGAGGGTCGAAAAGTAGGCTTGCTAAAGCGGCGGGTGCGGAGCCATCTGGCCAGATGAGAGATGAAAAATCCCACGCTGCTGTGGCGCGAAGCACATTTCGAAGTCAAAATATACAAAGCACACCATTCTCGGAGCACTTTTGGAAGTTGAGATGTCAAAAAAGTGCACGCCGTTGTGGCGCAAAGCACATTTCGAAGTCAAAATGTACAAAGGACAGCAGCTTCGGACCACTTTTGGAAGTTGAGATGTCGAAAAAGTGCACGCTGTTGTGGCGCGAAGCACATTTCCAAGTCAAAATGTACAAAGCACACCAGCTCTGGACCACTTTTGGAAGTTGAGATATCGAAAAAGTGCACGCTGTTGTGGCGCGAATCACATTTCCAAGTCAAAATGTTAAAAGCACCACATGTTCGGACCACTTTTGGAAGTTGCGATGTCAAAAAAGGGCACGCCGTTGTGGCGCGAAGCACATTTCGAAGTCAAAATGTACAAAGCACACCAACTTCGGACCACTTGTGGACTTTGAAGTGTCGTTTCGCGTCCGTGGCAGGCGCAGTACAAGAGACATAATCATCAGAGCTGTTAGGAGGTCCGGGGGCTGATTTCCTGAGAGGGGTTGCATTTTGGAACATCAGATCTTCAGGTTTGCTGAGATGATTTTGCATGACAGGTACAGCACTTCGCATGACCTGGCATCAATTTTTCGCGGCAGGCGCAGTACTTTAGACAGGTGGAGTGGAAAAATCGCAAAACGCATTGGTACGAGGCCGTCAACTCTGCGCTCAACTTTCCATTTTTGAAGGAAGCCTCGCATAATTGTTTCATTTTTGATGTTGTCAACTCCGAAAATTGAGGAAGTCTCGCAGAATTGTGTCGTTTTTGATGTTGTCAAGTTCAAAATTTGAGGAAGTCTCGCAGAATTGTTTTGTTTTTGATGTTGTCAAGTAAAAAATGAGGAAGTCTCGCAGAATTGCTGCATTTTCAAGCTTACAGATAGACAGATAGATAGATAGATAGATAGATAGACAATTACAACTACAGCAACTACAACTACCACTACACCACGCTACACTACTGCAACAACTACAAATACAAATATACAACGCTACATTACACTACACTAATTAAACTACACTACGCTACTTACATCTAATTACACTACACCACAACAAGTACACTAGCAACAGCAAGAACAAGAACAACAACAACAAGAACAAGAACAAGAACAACAACAACAACAAAAACAACAACCACAGCTACAACTACAATTACAACTTACAACTGCGCTACACTAATTACACTGCAGAACCCTGCAGCTACAAATGCAACTACAACCACACTACATTGCACAACACTACACTACACTGATTACATTGCATTACACTTCAACTACAGCTGCAGCTGCAACTGCAACTACAACTACAACTACCACTACACTACACTACACAACACTACAGCACACTACACCACACTACACTACACTACACTACATTACACTACACTACACTACGGAGACTACACTACACAACGCTACATTACACTACGCTATACTACACTGATACAACTTCACTACACTACACTAATTACACTGCACTACACTACAACTACAACTACACTACCTTACACTAGGCTACACTACACCATACCACACTACACTACACAACACTACGCGAGACTAGGCTGCACTACACTACACTAATTAAACCACACCACGAATACAACTGCAACTGCACTTGCAAATGCGCTAATTACACTACATTACAGCTACAGCTCCACTACGTTACACTACACTACAACTACAGCTGCAACTGCAACTACAACTGCACTACACCACACTACATCCAGCAGTTGTGGTAAGGTGACCACTGCAACCATTGCAACCACTCCAAAAAAAACAACTCCAACCACCTGTCGGTCCATCAGTGGATTCGCTCTGCCATCCGTGACTCGCAACAACCAATCTCTCCTATAGGTTTCCTATGTTTGAAACTTCCGCCACCGCCTTGTGCGGTACTACTGGTATCATGATGATATCATTGACATCCCACATCGTTTTCTAGCTCAAAATCCCCGCTTTTCGACCGCGAAACGCTAAGCTGATGCTCAGGACGGAATCCACGGTGGCGCTCAGCCAGGCTTGGCTCCAGCCCAAGGAGATTATCGCCTGCTTGAGAGCCAAACATGGAGGATTTTTACCATGAAAACGTTTCAAAATGGAGCTTTGATCATCCAAAAACTACGGGATTTCAAGCAAAAATGCTGGGAAATGGAGCTTTGATTATGAAAAAACTTGGATTTCAAGCATTGAAGAATGCTGATTTCAAGCATGAAAATGGAGATAAAGTACCATGATTTTGCCATGAAAAATGGTGAACATGGTGGATTGAACCGTGAGAATCAACATTCTAAGCAGCAAAAATGGTGGAAACTGAATCAACATGATGGATTTAGCCATCAAGACATGATGGAAAATGACAATTTTACCATCAAACATGGAGATTTGACAAGTAGAATTGGGATTTAACCGATTTAACCGGCAAAAAATCGGATTTAAGCAAACATGGTGAACAATTGTGAATCAATCACAGAAAAAGGGTTGATTCTTGGTGGGTTTCTAGGAATTCAACCTTGAAAGCCTTGAAAGATATGAATCTGATGATTTATTGGAATAAGTGTTGTGGATATTTACTCCGAATTTATGGTCTTTCCAAGAGGGAAATGCAGTTTTCAGATACCCAATGTTCAGATAAACCCTTCTGGGCAAGTTACTATAGGATGCTGGTACAATCCAATACCATATGTTTCAGCGTGCCCTACGATTTGGATCTATGCGGAAAACATACAAGATCATACTGGACGATGCTATGGTCATAACATAAACATACGTACTAGCGTTGCAACTACATAATTATAACATAATTAAAACATATTACAACATATCATAGCAATTTAAAACATAACTATGAAATACTATGAAATCAACACAAAGTCGTGTGTTTTCCCCTACCACATAGATGTGGAAAACCCATGGTTTCCCGTTCGGAAAATGACCTAGAAATGGTGAGCTCACCAAAACTTGGCCAGATCCAGTCAGACCGAGGCCGCAAAGACATGGGGTCCGCAGCCAAGGAACAGAATCCCCACTTTTCATGCCAACAAATTCCTATACACCACCAATAAATCCCCAACCAATCCAAATTATTCCCAGAAATCCAACACCAATGCCATGAATCATGAAAATATCATAAATCCCACTTTGACATACTTTAAACACCTTCCCCACATCCCTGCATCTGCTGCCCCGCGTGCCTGACAGCCGTGGAACTCGAAGATATCCTCGTTGCTCGCGTGAGCAATGGCCTGAATGTATCGCTGCCAATGCGCGCGGCATTTCATCTTTAAAATACGATGGTTCCAGTACCCAAATGGAATGTGGAACATCTGGGAAACTCGATATATTTGAATAGTGCCACTTTCGGATTTCGAAATTTTAGGGGGTTTGCTGCGAGCCTAGTGAAATTGTCTTCCGTCTATGAAACTTTTTTTGGACTGTTTTCCCCATGCAATAGCCACGCAGAAAAAATCTACACATGTCACCTCCCTTCTACACAGATGGACATATTGCAAGTCTACACTTGTACACATTGAGTCCGTTCTGTTTTCTGGGGCCGCCCTAAAAACCAAAGGTTGGAAAAAATGAACATGCGGATAGTACAAATATCAAACTGCACTGCTGGCATTAGTTAGCTGGAGTTGGCATTCCATTACAATCCACCAACATCCAATTCTCAAAATCCCAGTAATGCTTTTATCACCCCATTGTGTCCACTAGTATCCGCTGATGTCTCTTCAGGGAAAATAAAGGGGCCGGCTGGCATACCGGCCATCGGGTCATGTACAGATTGTTTTTTCATTGGAGGTAACCTCAGTGGGAAAAGGACATCTATGCTGTCATGTTATCATCTCATTATCGCTGGTATTACCACCCTTTTCCGCTAGTGTCACCTACTATAGAAGTACCCTACCCCATGAGTACCGATTTCCCGCTAGGATCCATAATTAGCATACCATTAAGTAATCCATCACTATCCTACAATTATCCCCTATCTCCAAAAACTGGTTTGTATTAATACTGGTTGGTGGTTGACCTACCCCTCTGAAAAATATGAGTTCGCCAGTTGGAATGATGACATTCCCAATATATGGGAAAAAATATGTTCCAAACCACCAGATATGTTCCATTTGTTCATGCTCCATCAAAGAACATCTAGTTCCCCATTTCACATGGATGGTCCATCCTCAAGGCACGTTAAAAATCCCAGTGTTTTCCAAAAGTACTATTATCAACTTTATCAAATGGATATATTATGATATGTTGAAAGACAATACCGAATTATTACATACATATGTAAATATAATGTATCATACTTCATAATAATACTGGATATCGGATATATTAAACACATTATTCCATTGTCTATTGCGCATATTCTGGTATGATCCACAATTTCCCATTTTGCCTGGTACTAGCCCGCTATTCTCTAAAGTTCCCTCTGCAGCGTAAGCCGCATAGAGCACGTACTCATTGTTGAGCACATCCGGCAGGATACATTGCAGGACCCGCGCGGGGGCCATGAACGTCCTGATCTTCGGTCCGTATCACAAGGGTGAATGAACTAAGAATATGGGGAATTGGGGAATTATTATTGGAATTGATAGGGACCTCCAATTGTTGGAACCTCCATTCCGATACTACTTCCATACTACTTGCCATAAGACACCCCAATAGTATGGGAAGATTATATGAAGGTCCCATCATGTTTTTTCCCAAATAAATTCCATGGAAATGATATGTGTTTGATACATTTACATAATACAACATGATGCACGATATGAGTTCTGAGTTTGTCTGGAAAACACTGGAAACACCCCAAAATCGATATGTGAAAACCTAATTTTCCCACTGAAATTGCCATAAATTGGAGGGTATACTTCATTTTCAGACACACCTATATTGTGCGACTGTATAATGTATATGCCATTAAACATATCATAGATATAAATAACATATATATATATATAAATGTGTGTGTATCCAGATATTTGCAGTTGAATGTTATTGAATTGCGAAACTTAGTAAAATTTACAAACCTGCTGTGTTCCGCCATTTAGGTTTTATACCTCGTAAAGCTGTCGTTCATAGTTGGGTCTGCGCGTGTAGCTATGATGCCGCAAACTGGATAGACGCGGATAGACACCAGTCGCTGTATCCAGGGCAAACTGCTAACCGCCTTCAATACATCCTCTTACAGTACTGAGTACTGACATCAGTATACATCAGTGAATATCCTCACCTTCATCCAATACAGAATAATACAAAAAAAAACGGATGTTTCCCTCACTTGTTCTTGAATACACACTTCTTAAAATTAAAAATGGATGTGATTGATGGGTTGACGGTTGACCCATGTACATCAATTGGAAATACCATGTATATAGTACCAATCTTCATGATGAAATCAATGACTTTGTCATCTGACCATATGCAACAACCGCCCTGACGTCATGGGAAGCTCCACCCGTGCCCCAGATTTCGGTCGCTGCAGCTGCCTGTTGTTCATTAGGGAGTCGAATTGCAAGATTTCGCCAGAGCGGAAGCAAAGATAGGAACCTCGATGTAGGCCATGGAGTTAATTAACCTGTTAGATTTGGGGGGCCATATAAATAAGCCATGAAACATACCCACTTATACTTATACATAGTTCTGTTTGGGTTGCTAAATGAGCCTAACCAATAACCTGACTGTATCCCCCCGGTAGGGTTTATGATAGACTAAGATGAAGCCCTCTTGGGACCTGGCGCTTATTACGCAGACTTACTGAAAAAGGGTACCAAATTCCATCCGATAATTACACCTCATTTTACCTATTTAAATGGCAAAATATGGACTGGTATCCCATCTTCAAACACGTCCATTTGGTAAATCACTGGTTTCATGACCAAGCTTGAAACAGTTTTTTTGAGGCCAAAAAAACATCGGATGTTTACCATATTTTACCATCGACTAACCCAAACTGGTTGGTGGTATACCTACCCCTCTGAAAAATATGAGTTTGTCAGTTGGGATGATTATTCCATTCACAACTGAATGGAAAGTCATAATCCAGTCCTGTTCCAAACCACCAAGCAGCAAAATAATGGGATCAGTTACGGATGTTTACTGTCGCTTCACCAGTTCCGAGGCGCTCCGACTCTTTCGCTCCACCACCAACTCCGAGCCCTGCCTCTGGAGCCTCGGGGAGGTGACGGCCGCTCGGATGAAAATCGCAGGAAGCTCAAAATTCTCCATATTTCATAGGAAGTTCGGAAGATCAATGGAATATCAACTCGGAGTGTATCCGGTTTCGATTTTTCCCAATCCATTCAGCTCCACATATTTTGGATTTTTACATGTGTTTACAATTCCAGTGATCGATTCCATCAAGCGGAATTGGATTTCACTCGCGCAAAAAAAAATTGGGAAGTGAATGGAAGAATAGCCGTCGGAAATAATAATACTGATTGTCAAGGGGGATTTAACCACTTTAAAAGTGAAATTTCACTGTGACAGACATGGATAAAATGAAATTTAATGGAATCGATCTATCTTTTCTAGTCTACTCAAATCAAATCTAGCCTTAGCGAATCTATCTAATCTAATCTAATCTAATCCAATCTAATCTAATCTCATCCATCTGTCTACCTATTTATCTATCTATCTATCTATCGATCGATCGATGTATCCATCCATGCA